GAGACATGGTGTTATCAATATGATCCGGAAACGAAACGTCAATCCCTTGAATGGAGAACTGCAAATTCACCGAGACAGAAAAAAGCCCGAATGTCGAAGTCGAAAATCAAGACGATGCTGATTTGTTTTTTTGATGTCAACGGAATCGTCCACTCCGAATTCGTGCCAGAAGGACAAACAGTCAACCAGATGTTGTACCAGAACGTTTTGAAGAGGTTGCGTGAGGCTGTGAGGAGGAAAAGGGGCGATCTGTGGAAGGAGAACTCATGGAACTGGCATCACGATAACGCGCCGGCTCACACAGCCCTGTCTGTCCCAGAGTTTTTGGCCACCAAACGGATCACTGAAATGAATCACCCGCCGTATTCGCCCGATTTAGCCCCCAATGACTTTTGGCTGTTTCCCAAACGCAAAAATTTTTTGAAAGGCCACCGATTTCAAAGCATTGAAGACATTCAAACAAATGTGATGCAGGCTCTGAAAGACATCCCAAAAGAAGACTTCCACCGCTGTTTTCAGCAATTGCAGCATCGTTGGGATAAGTGTATACGTTCTGGAGGGGAGTACTTTGAAGGCGATAAATGTGATTAATTTGTAAGTTTAAAAATACATAATTAAAAAATAAAGTCTGGAAACTTAATAGCCACACCTCGTATGTTTCGTAGACCCTAAGGTGATTTGTATAGGACCAGTACCGCGTGTTGTGGTGGTTCACTTCACCATTCAGCATGAATTAGCTGCATCAAGAAAGCCGGCTCAGCAATTAATCGGGTATGCATGTATTGCAGAATTCCAAACGACGATGGAAGTCATAATCGTAGAATTCCTGTACACATTTGGCCTTGTGCGGATGGAATTTGGGGAATCTTTCACACGGATGCAACGGTCCAATCTATTGTAACGGGCGTTTTGCGGATGAACGTGCGAATCGCTCTCTACTTGAGTGACCGTGAGGAAGGAAATGTTTTGGCAGGCAGAACCATTCTTGGAACCATCTTGAGAACGGAGATGCTCAAGAAGGCAGAAAGGAGGACAAGAATCATGACTTTTTGCTGGAAGATACTTGCTAGTATCGCTAGACAAAGGTGGAATGTGGAAGGTAGGGAAGAAAGCAGGCTAGGAAAACCCTTGCGAACCTGCGAACGAGGTTCGCGGGAACGGAGACGCGCGGCCCGCTTAGTCCGCTTGCATATCCTTCCCGGAAAATTCCAATTAGTCGCCTCGGGTTCGCGGGAAGAAAACATTTTTTTCCTACACTGGAAGGATGTGTAGCAAACTACTTCGGAAGCAGTGTAGATTGGCGCAGAGCTCTTCTTAAGTCGAAAGCGCAAAGTGCAGCCCAGTGGCGTAGCGTGGTTGGCATGGGCCCACTCCAATTTCTTACTATTGAATTATGTGGGAGTCATATAAAAAAACGATTAAAAGAGGCCGTCGTATATTTAGCAGCAGCCATCGACTTCAGTCACACCTTCCGTCACCGCCTATGTCTTTAAAAAGTATCCTTTTGTCCAGGACAAAAGATCAAGTGTCGGAACCCCCTTCATCTACCACCACCCTCCGTCCTATCGCCTTATTCATTTTTCTTCTGGGGTAAAAAACCCT